CTCCCTGGAGCCTTCTCTTCTCCAAGCTAAACAGTCCCAGTTCCCTCAACCTTTCCTCATAGGAGAGGTGCTCCAGCCCTCTGATCATCTTAGTGGCCCTCTTCTGGATCCAAGAGCTCCACATCCTTCCTGTACTGGGGGCCTCAGGCCTGGACACAGTACTTCAGATGGGGCCTCAGAAGAGCTGAGTAGAGGGGGACAATCATCTTCCTCTCCTTGCTGGCCACCCCTTTTTTAATACAGCCCAAAACACAGTTGGCCTTCCAGGCTCCAAGCACACACTGATGAATCATGTCCAGCTTCTTGTCCACTGGGACCCCAAGTCCTTCTCTGCAGGGCTGCTCTCAAGGAGATCTTCCCCCAGTTTTTATAAATACCTGGGATTGCCCCAACCCAAGTGCAGCACCCTGCACTTGGCCTTATTGGACCTCATTAGGCTTTCATAGGCCCACTTCTCCAGCCTGTCCAGGTCCCTTCCTTCCAGTGTATCGACTGCATCACTCAGTTTGGTGTCATCTGCAAACTTACTGAGGGTGCACTCGATGCCATCGTCTGTGTCATTGATGAAGATGTTGAAGAGTACCAGTCCCAAGACCGACCCCTGAGGGACATTGCTTGTGAGCAGCCTCCACCCTGACACAGAACCATTGATCACAACCCTTTTGCTGCGTCCAGCCAGCCAATTCGTAATCCATCAAACAGTCCATCCTTCAAATCCACACCTCTCCAATTTGGACAGAAGGATATGGTGAGGGACCAAGTCAAAGGCTTTGCAGGAGTCCAGACAGATGACATTTATCGTCTTCCCCCCATCCACTGAAGCCGTCAGTCCATCATAAAAGGCCACCAGATTGGTCAGGCAAGATCTGCCCTTGGTGAAGCCACGCTGGCTGTCCCGTATCACCTCTTTATCTCATATGTGCCTTAACATAGCTTCTAGGAGGATCTGCTCCATGATCTTCCCAGGCACAGAGGTGAGGCTCACTGGCCTGTAGTTCGCCAGGTCTTCCTTTCATACTTTTTTAAAAATGGGAGTAATGTTCCTTCTTTCCAGTCACGGAGGACTTCACCAGACAGCCATGATTTTTCAAATATGATGGAGAGTGGCTTGGCAACCACATCAGCCACCTCCTTCAGAATCCTAGGATGGATATCATCTGGCCCCATGGACCATGTTCAATTGGACAAATGGACATATGTTCAATTTCATGAGGAGGACTTGGACTTGTTCCGTTGTTACAGTTGGACAGAAACCACTCCCCACACCTTCACCTAGAGGCTCGTGGTCCTGGAAGACATGGGAAGCCTGACCACCCGTGAAGACTGAGGCAGAGCACTCATTGAGTACTTCAGCTTTTTCTATGTCTGAGGAAGCCAGCTCCCCATTACCTTTCATCAGAGGGGGAACACTCTCCTTGGCCTGTCTCCTCCTGCTTATGTACCTGTAGAACCCCTTCTTATTATCTTTCACATCCCTCTTCAAGTTCAGCTCCATTTGCGCCTTGGCTGTCCTAATCCTATCTCTGCACACACGGACAACAGCCCTGTATTCCTCCCAGGCTACACAACCCTGCTTCCACTTCCTGTACATTTCCCTCTTTTCCCTCAGTTTAAACTGCAGGTCCTTGCACAGCCACGGTGGTCGCCTGCCTCCCCTGCTCGACTTCTTCTGCTGGGGATGGAGATCTGTTGTGCTTTCAGAAGGGTGTCCTTAAAGAGCTGCCAGCTCTGTTCCATGCCCATGCCCTTGTGTTTAGGAGCAAGAGGTTTCAGTTGGACTTCTTCACAGGCAGACAAAATGTACTAATTCTAAGTCCAATTCCATGTTTTTCTTGTTTTAGTTGTTATGATAGTCATGGCTACCGCTACAAAATTAGGCCATTAAAAAAAGACAAGCAACTCAATCCAAACGATTCCATTTGAGCTAAACTTGGGCTCAGCAATAGACAGAGACGTACCTATTTAGGACATGTGTTTTCTACTTATTCCTGCCTTTGACTTGTTTTGGATGGTACAGCCAGTTGACAGATGAAATTTCCTTCATAGGGAAAGAAGCTGATATTTTTAAAACTATTTTCATCCAAAGACCAACACGTTTAGAAAAAAATCAGTTCCGAAATGTCAAAATATTTTTTTTCAATCAAAACCAAATATTCAACATTTCCCAACCTGTTTTAAACATGCTCTCATATGAGCTGGTGTATGCCCTTAATCTGGAGACATGTTGCTTTTCTTGGGAGTGGCAATTCAGGTGCAGTATTTTTACTTTTATCATAGAATCATAGAATCATAGAATGGCTTGTGTTGGAAGAAACCTCAAGGATCATCAAGCTCCAACTCCCCTGCCGCATTCAGGGCCACCAACCTCCATACCTAGCGCTAGACCATGTAGACTTACACATAAAGACTACACAAAGTATTCCATTAGAGCTCAGGATGATGGAAAGCCGTTTGGAAACTGGCATCAAATGGGAAAGTTGCACTTGGGCAGTGCACAATGTGTACATGCTAAAGATTGGTCAAGATGAATACTCTCGTCCAGAAATCCTGTAGATACATCTTCACAATGGGAAGTAATCCATTGGAGCTACCAGTTCAAATTAACACACCACGGACTCCATAAGTACTTCACTTCTCAGGCAAGCAGTGGAAGAATACTCTGTATCTTTCATCTGTTGCTGGAAAGTGGTGCACAAGTCAAAATCACAATTTAAAAGTTAACAGCTGATCAACCTTACCATAAGCCTACTGATACAAAGTCTGCAGAAAGGAAGGATTGCTTTATTTCGGGGAAGAAAGCAAAAAATTCAGATCCTGCCACCAGAAGAATTACTTTTAATTTCTACAGGTTTCATGTTTGTTCTTTTGCCTGAGCTGTGCTTTGGGGTGCATTGGCTCTTTTCTCTGGAGTAAAATATTAAAAATCTACATTTTTGGGGGGAATCTCCACAATTTTTTAAAGGTATGGCAGAAGTGTGGTACTCTCACAGTACAGTTTTAATGGGAGAAAAGTGTTGCTGTGTTGTCTTACAGATTTTATTAAGTTGTGCTTAGAATTCATTCATTTTGTTCACTCAGATTATAGATGAAATTCTTGTTGTAGGATGTTTATATGTCCCAGAGCATTCATAATTCATTGTGTTCAGCCATCTACAACCATTTAATTACAGACTGTCTGTTTCATGTAAAAAATGCTTGCCAAGACTCTTTTGGCAGAGTAAGGAATGAATTTTGTAAAGGAAAACCAAGTTGCTCATCAGTGGCGGCAGCAAAAATGGGGAAAAGAGCTACCCAAGAGTTTCTTGAAGATTCCAGTTGATGGATCCTGGCATTATTTGGTCTCTTGATAAACCTTGATGAAATTGTGCTAAATTTTGCGTGGAAAGCTTTATTTCTTCCCCCCTTCAAGAACTGTAGTTGAATGTACATTTAAAAATGGTATGTGAAAATTACCCATAAGACATCATTATACAAGATATAAGCACAAACAGTACAGAAAGGGAGAAAGCATCTAGTCTTTGAAAATAATATTTGTGCTTTGTGCTTTTTTAAAACATAAACATACATTATCAGCATCTTACTAAAGTGAGGCTGCATTTTCACCTTCCACTGTCTCACAGCATAAAAATAGCATATTTGAACTGAGCAGAAGATTGATGTTTCTTTGCTCTCATATTTCTTTTTTCTTTGTAGATTTTTATGAAAATTTATGCCTTGCTGTTGAATGTTGAAAAAATCCACTGAGATGCTTTTAAAGTTAAGCCTGAAGATTTAAATTGGAAATGACTGAAGAATGAGTTTGGGTCTTTTTGAAGTGCTATTATTTTGACTCCTTGAAGGCCCCACATGAATACTTTATCTCTCCTTCTCTTTCCTTGGAGATTCATAACTGCAACTGCTGTGCAAAGTAAAGTTTCCACTGAGGACTAGCTAAGCAAATTCGTCATGCTGAAAGTGAAAGTTGTATCAGAAGGAGTGGGATTTCCTGAAGTGCTGCAAGTCTGAGTACTGGAGCAGGTTCTATTTCAGTCATCCCTCCACTTCAGCATACATCAATAGATGGAATCAGTGCATCTTTTCTATTTTACTTCAGCCTCCTACTCACTGACCGCAGCAGGGACTGTGTCGCACCATTGAGCACCAAGCGGCACTGGAGAGAGGGAGTCCAAATGCCCACAGAGGCCCTGAGGTGCCTGGAGGAGGAGAACACCCCAGGGTGTCTCACCTTCCTCCTCCATCCTCCTACCAAAGCCAGATGCCCTGCATGTGCTGAGCTGAACTGAAACCCTGCCCTGTGGCTTTGGGGAGCAGTCAGCTGTGTGGCCGTGGATGCCGTATACTGAGGGAGCACTACTCTCTTGCTTCTATTGGTAGAAGTGAGTTTTTCTTAAAAAACAGCAAATTATACAGTCTCACACCTGACTCTCCAGCTGAATGGGTGGAAATGTCTTTCTCTGGGCCTCAACAGTGCAGGAGCCAAAGGCCAGGGGTCAGCTATTAGATTCAGCTGTTCCCTACTGCAGGTTCAACTCATGTTCCCTGGCCTGGCTGTGCTCTGAGGAACCTTGAGGCACTTGCGCCTTTGTGGTATGAGCTCATTTGTTGTCATTTCCACTTTGGAGTGGGAAAAAAGGTCATAAGAAGAGATCAGTAAATGTGCAGCATTCATAAAGCAAGGCCTCTTCAAAAACAGACATGTTGCAGTGTTATCATATCCAGGAAAACAGCAACAGACAGCATAGCTTTAAAATACCACCCAGGAACTCTTGCTTGGAAAGGACAACTCACAGCATCAAAGCCTGGACATACTTGCCAAACCATGCTTTACTGCCAAGACACCAGATTTATCCCCTTAGTAGCAATGATGCGCGAGGCAAGATGGTGACTGCTACAGCAAAGTGGGGATGGGTTTGTATCGTAGTGGTCACAATTGTTGCTCGGCCTCTAACTCTGCCTTGCTGGTCTGTTCAACTTCTGCAACAACAATGACAGAAGGAACCCTACAGATATTAATACTTGATGCAAAAGGTACATGAAATTAGCCTGAGGACTGTTTGGGAATAAGTAACTCTCAAGCGTACAATAAGAATTCAAGAGAATTAATTTAACAGCTAAAAGTCAAATGTAATGAAAAAATATTAATGAAAATTTTTTATGTTTAGGTGAATAGTTTCAAGCCAAAAATAAATGAGAAATAAGCATGGCCTGATAGAAATTGGACTGTGTTTAGATTCTGATAACCTGAAAGAGAATTTTTTAGCATAATGATAAGTTTGGGTGATTATTTGAAGAATAAGAACAGAATGGCTGTTCTTGACTTTAATTTGGAGCCAAAATATTCTGTGTAAAGAACTTGTGAAATTCATGTCCCCTTTAGTTCTGCAGTCTGTAATTACTCACTTACAGGACATAGTATTCAGATTTATGAGGAAGGAGAGAGTGGCAGTCAATTGTTATTTTTTATTTCTAGCTAGTGTTTGCAGATTCAATTGTGATAACCAACCAAAACCTGATTTTTTTTCCCTTCAAACAGCTCTGTCTGTGGTAAAAAGTGTGTATCCATGTTTTACATCTTTTTCAGTGCATAAACATTTAAGGATACTTACTTAACCACAAGACAATTTTCTGAGCCTTGCAAGTCTTACAAATCCCTAATCACAGGTTGATATATTCAATAATGTAGAATTAATGAGTAACAGTTGAAATGTGCCTGGGTTAGGTGGCTACTGAGGTTCTGTGGTGTTGAAATAATAAGGTGTGGGTCTGGTTACAAGGGGACTAGGCATCTGTTCCCATCTCAGCTATGACTTCCCATACTAGTACCCATATTCATGTGGAGAATTATAGCACTAGTGATTGTGCTATAACTGTGATAGTGATTACTGAAGTAATCTAAACAGAAAACTTTGCTTCTCTGGAAGTGGGGAATAACTACTGTATTTTAGTGACATGCTAATTGAACCTCAGTTTGAATGTCCAAAGGTGTAGTTCCTGGCTGATGCATTTATACACTATTGAATGTATATTTTTACTCACTTAATCTTGTCTTAATGTGATTCTTTGGTTGACAAGGTAAGTTTGTGACTTCTGAGCTGAGAACTGTCTTCAGCTGGTCACAGTTTTCATTTGGAGCAAGCACTGTACTTGTTACTGTGACAGAGGCCCTTAAACAGGAAGATGGGTAAATTCTACCAGCAAGGAATGGTAGCTGGCCTCACTGGGACATGTAAAGCTTTTTGGTAAGAGAGGGCAGAGCAATGAACAACTTCCTGGAAACCTTAGCAATGCAGAGGTTTGAAAGAACTATATTGGCCTGCAGTTCATAAACATCATAGGCTGAATAATCTGCTTCTAAGTGCATCAGAAACCTTTGCTCATATATTTAGACTTCGCTTCTAGAACTAAAAGTGCTAAAAAATGGCAAGACTAAAAAGGCAGCACAGCAATAAAAATTCCATTTTGACTCTGGGGAGAGCTTCAGAGACGTTGTGGTCAGAATTTTCTCCATTATTTGCAAGTTCTCAAAGAAGAATCTTCTTTCTTTTGGATTAGCTTTTTGTAAAATCTATTAAGATTTTTAATTGCATTTAAAAATATTATGTTTTGAAACTTAGTCTGCAGGAAGTTTAACCAGACCTTATTAAGGACTCTGAGTGTGACAGAAGCTTGTGTATCAGCAAGGTGCTTTGCTTGTCTGCCCAATAAAAATACAAGGAGTAATGCCAGTTTGGGGAGTAAACAGAGTGAGGGAGGCTCAAATTATGAGCTGCTTTGGTCTTCATAGCCAGGAAGTACTTTGCTACTTCCATTGCCTCATTACATCTCTTCTATTAGAAAGCCTTCATAAATTACAGGAATAAGTGGCCCTTAGCAAATAACTTCAAAACAGAGCAACTAAGTAGGACTGGAGGAGAATGGGAAACTCCATTCTGCTACTGCTAAAGCAGATAGTTCTGAGCTGCTGGCATTTTTTTCCCCCTCTCTGCTTAGGGTGAAAGACAAAAATGTTAATAATTTCCACAAATTGAAAATCTGAAAAATGTGAGCTGAGGTCAGCTGGAACATTTTGTTTCTATAATTTTGTAATATCTTTTGACAATGCTGATCTGTCTTTAATCTATTTATGCCTAAATTTGCTAAGATTTCAAAATTTTAAAAAGTTCCAGCTTGAAGGAAACAAAAGCTTTCTAACTCAAAATGTTGAAGAAAGACTACATTTTAATGTTTTCAAAAAATAAATAAATCAAGGAGCAATAAGAAATTGAGCCTTTTCTTAGCCATTAGTCTGAGTCATAACACAGATCAGTAACAAATGCTGTGTATTTCAGTAGGAGAGCACTCCAGTGACTAACTTTTTTTCCTATCCGGTTGACTGCAGTGACATTTGGGTCAGGCCTACTAAGATGGTTCTCCTAACTGTGCCAGTGCCAGAAAAATGCTTGCATGGTGATAAGTCAATGGAACATCAAAGAGAAATATTCATTTTTTTAGTCAAGAGCAAGATATTTGATGATGGAACTAATCCCTAGGCAATAAAAATTTTCCTTTACAGTCAATTCTGTGATTAAGCCAAAGCCACTGCTTTGTTCCTCCACCTGTCCCTATGAGTCAGCAGTGCTTTCCTCATGCTTTTCCTCCAAGTTAGATGACAGTGCCTCTCCTGTGCTGCAGATGCACAAGTGTTTTGCCTACAGTTGTGACTTGTTTAGCTTTTGCAATGTTGGGAGCCACTCTGAGCTTTGGCACACTTTTTACCAAATAGGAGAGTCTGGTGGGGGCAATCTCATACTGCTCATGGCTTTGTTACTGTAAAAATCAGGAGTTTGAAAATCTCATCACAACCATTTGTAATTTGCTTAGAACTGTAACAAAAATGCTAAATTTCGTCCTTAAAAGTACTGAAATTTTTAAGATTTAATCCCATTGGATTCTAAAAGCCAGAGGTATAATATACATCTTTGTGCCAAATTTTCTCATAGTGTTTTGTTCCTTACCTGCAACTCCAGTGGGCACAAAGACATGTCCACTTGGTAGTGCTGTACATGTGAGTTACACTGTCATAACATCTCTCTAAGAAGAGTTTCTTTTTTTTCAAAGGACACCTTTGAAATTCTATCTGGTCAGTGTCTGAAGTTAGAACAGGAGCAAAACATTGTCCTCAAGTACCAGGCTGAGAGATTAATTCAAATTTTATTGAACTTTTGCTCTGAGTTAAGGTCGATTGCATGAATGAACTTATATTCCGTTTCCAAATGGGCACATCTGTAATTTACAATATATATTTTAGCATATCTCATAACTACATTTTGCCTCTGATTCTCTATACTGGGGTAAGTATTGGTGGCTTTTGCCAGATGTTCTTCTGAAGCCAATGTGAATATCAACAACATGAAGTAAGAGGTGCCACCTGTACAAGTGTCATGCCAGGCCACGCAGTGTGCTTCCCACCTAATCACAGAGAGAAAGAATCTGTGTGACTCAGAGAGGCAAAGGAAAATAAATGTCAGACCTCTGGACTGAGAGCTCAGCTGCCAGAGAGGAGAGTTGTTGGAGCCAGTGAACTCTCCATTGCCTTATTCATTGGCTTTTAGGTCTGTGATTTCTGTCGCCATGGCATTCATCTCCCCCACAGAAACAAAATTCTGCATTTGGCTGCTACTGCTTTGGTAATAGCAGTGGGACCAACTACTTTGAGGTATGGTGTTGCTCATACAACAAGTAAACATGGCAGTAAACAGGCCAACACAAAACACACAAGAGTATACATACACAAACTTTAAACTGACTCCTCTCATGCCATAATGATGAGCAACATATTCTGACCATTCCTTTCCCATGCAGGCTCAGCCCGGCTGATCTGTGTACTCAGCACTGAAACCTACACTTTTCCCAGGACCCATCAGGTCAGACTGCCCATAAACCAGTGCTTCTTTGATGGCCCTCATCCTGCTTTCAATTGATGTGGCAGTGCGTGAATACCTATGACCGAAAGCTTGATATAAAATTCATTTGTCTAAACACCAGCTATTTATGTTTGATGGCCTGAACAATTATTAATCTTGATTGGAAATATAAGTCATTGTGTGCACAGTATCCTGTCACAGCATCCCTGTTAGCTCCCCCGAGGCCAAATTCTCTGACAATGCACACAGTGTCCGGTTCTTTCTGCACACAGCACCATGCCCTAGCTGAAATCCCAGGCAGGAAACCTCTTTTTCTGTATGCTCACCAGTGTGGATGATCCCCAGGAATTTCCCGGGTCTGCCAGTGTATATCCCATAAGCAAGAGACAGGCCTTGCACCGCTGTGCCCAACAGTTTCCATATTTTCACATACTGTTCAAAAATGCCATAAAGCACATGCTAACCTCGGCGAGCAAAGCACATGTCCCTCCTGCCCGGACATGAGCTCCCACACAGTCCTGTGCCTGGGGAGAGCTCTGAAGGAAACAGAGCCTCCTTTAGCCCACAGTGAGAGTGAAAAGTACCAGAGTTGCTGTTCCTTGATGGTAGAAACACAGTATGATCCCTCTTTGCTTCCCTCTAATGTCTGAATTCTCACTCTTATTTCAGAACTCTGCTCCTCCACTGCCACCAAAATACCAAATCCAAGGCTTCCAGATAAGCTACATCTGCCAAGCAAACAGTCACATATATGAAACCTAGTACAGCAGGACCTACCACCTGATGCCTTGCTGGCCACATCTAGTATGAACGTGCACCCAGTGCTCTTTTGTCAGCAGTTGTCCCACACAGCCACCCCCAGCCACTACACAGCCCACAGAAATACGGATGTTGGTCTGGGCTGTGGCAGTACTTATTTGCCTCATCTGTCACATCCTCTTTTATTTTTGTGATTCCTACAAGAAATGTGTGTCTGTTCTTGATTTGTTATTAGAAATCTCTTTGTGAGTGAATAAGAGCAGAAGGAGAGAAGACAGACCACAGAGCACTGTGGATTAGACACTGTTCAAAGGCACACTGGGCAGAACGCAGCACAGACAACCCTCAGAAAACTGCAGAGATTAT